TAACTTGTTAAATGACTTTTAAGTAGTTAGTTCAACTACTTAAACTGTTTTTATAATTTTTTATTTTTAGTTTTATGTTTTTACGATTCTTTGAAATAACTGTTCTTAATTATTTTAAACATTTTCTCATGAATTATTAAATTTAATTAAGAAAAATGATATCTAGAACTTGAAACTTGTAAATGGTAAATCGTGTACAATTATAAATTATTATTAAGAATAAACTTTAAATAAATTTTCCCATCCATCTGACTTGTTTTTTTAGGCAGAACTTGGTCAATCCCAAACTAGACTTCCTACTATTATGTCCAAGAAGTTATCATTTCAACTTTAGAACATTATATATATATATATATATATATATATATATATATATATATATATATATATATATATATATAGAGTAAGGATCAAATGAGAATATCATCTTAGGAGAGAAATAAGAATGGATCTCCACCATTAATTAAATCTGGTCTAACGGAATGCTAATCTTATACTAACGGTTAAACTTTCGGCTTAGGATTACGCCGTTAGTGCTTTAATGGCTTTCCACTTTTTCCATTATTCCACGATTTGTATAGGCCACGTATCTTGTTTTTACTTTTAATTTCTCATGATTATAGTATTATATTATGCTTGTTCAAATTCATTTAATTTGCTAGAACTATAAAATTGGATTGGAGGCTAGGCTCTATCTACTTTAGTGTTTGGAGTCTAATATACGTAGTATTGAATTTGATGGTGCACTCACAAATAAATGTAAACTGCCAACCTATACATTTTTTTGAAAAGGCATTTTCTTTAATTATTAATAGAATGAAATTGATCAATAAAAATGTGATTAAAACTCATTACGTAATATTTTTGTTTACCGTTCTTATTTTAGTCATGCATTTGGTTAAATGCATTTGGTGTGCACTTTTTATTGTTGCTTGGCTCATCATCATCATCATAACTATCACTATTGTTATTTTTTTATTTTCCGTTCTATTCATTATTATCATTTCATTTTAATTTGAATAAAAAATATATATATTATGACTCCTCTAATGATACATTGATTTTCTCCTGAGTTTGTCGGTGCACATTAATATATTTAATGATAGAAGTGCATAATTTTGCGATATGAGTGCACTCCTAGAATAATAAAGTTGCATATGTATTCATTTTCAGTTGAAAAAGTAAATATATTATGACTCATCTTAGGATGAATTATTATTAATGAAGAAAACGTATTCACATAAATGTGTTAAAAATAGTTGATTGTTATACTAGGTTTTGGTTCAAATAAGAACATGATCTTAGGAGAGAAATGAGAATGAATCTGGACCGTTCGTTAGATTTGCTTTAAGTGAAATTCAATGTGCATTAGATGAAACTATAATGTGCACTAGGTGAAATTGAAATGTGCAACACAAAATGCACGATATAGTGACATTATGTGAAGCTGAATTGTGCATGACGTGAAATTGAAATGTGCACTAGGTGAAACTGAAATGTGCAGAGTAAACGGTATGATGTGATGTTATTTTCGTACCTTTTATTATGCACATTTTAGTTTAACCTAATGCACACTTGAGTTTAAGTTTTTATTCTGCACATTTCAATATCATCTAATGCAAATTTCCGTTTCACCAAATGCACAATTCAGTTCAACATAATACCATCAAACGGTATAGATTCATTCTCATTTCTCTCTTGAGAGTCCGTTCTTACTAGAACCGTTTCCTATTATACGAAGTGCATAAATGTTTTATATTATACAAGATAAATGTGCATCAAAATGACAAAAGTCACAATGATATTTTTGGAAGTCCTTTTAAGTAAGTGCACAATGGTACAACCATCAACCATGGATAAAATGCACAATTTTGTGATATGATTGTATTGGGATTACTGCACAATAATGTAGTTAGTGTTATAAGTGCATAGTGTTGCGATATTAGTGCACTACTAGAAATAATATATTTCCACACGTTTGAAGTGAAAATATTGCATATATAATATATGTAACTAAACTATTACGATAACAAACTATACAATTAGAATATACAATGGTACAAAATAATCAAATAAAAAGAGATTTTAATGTGTGAAAATCACGGAATTCACTTATGATCACTCTAGCTGCACTTGTAAGATAATCTACTGCAATTTAAGCAGATGTAAAAAATCACTTTTGATAAAAACACGGGGTGCCATTTATCTAAAATAAGTGAATTTAACTTTTTACGAATGTGAAAAAGTTCAATACATAAACCTAAAACTGCACCGTAGCATGCTTTAGTGTATTTCACACTTTTCAAATAAGATTTTTTTTATTTAATCTCATATCTATTAATCAATCATATGTGTATCTGATTTTTCATGGAAACCGCTAATGCTACTAGAATACAGCAAATTAATGCATAATAAATGTTCTAAAGATGCAATTGCCTTTAATAGATGAGAGTGGACCGTTTTTAATAATCCAATCATAATTGATCAAACCGTCTTTGAAGTGCACGTTAGTATCTCCGTTAGTTTTCATAATTCTCGTCTAATTTCTATTATGCCACCGCCCAAGATTGAACTAATTAGCATCGTAGATATTTGAGTTTGGATGATTGTGATTTATTCTTATTTCTCTCCTAAGCCACCATTCTCATGGGAACCATCCCCTATATATATAGATTTTGGTTCAAATGAGAACGAGTCTTAACGTGAGAACAAGAGAACACATCTCAGCCATCCAAAATTAATAACCATCTGCGATCAACTAAAGGGCATTTTCGTATAACACTAGTTGGCATTTAATACATCCGATTGTTCTACATTTCTACCAATGGAAAGATTAATTTCCGTATCCCTTAAATATTTCTTTTTAATACTTACATGATTTGACATACGTAACTATAGAAATAGTTTCTTTTTGTAAGGGAATGAATCTCTCCTTAATTGTTAATTATCATATCATTGTTATATTTTTCAACACATATTTTCTTTTTTATGGTACATACGAAATGTGAGTTACATACTGATTTATGTGAATTCCATAAATGTGTTGTGTGTCAGATATCGATTCATGTGCATTACATATTAAGGATTGTGTGTTTGATAATGGTTTTTGTGCACGACATATTTGTTGTGATTCTCTATGTCCATATTATGTGGTAGATAAGAGTTTAAGGTATGAGCCCGTTTGGTAGCACCAAAATCGGCTGTTTTGGCTGATTCTGCTGAAATTTATGATATTCTGGCTGGAGTGGCTGTTTTGGCTGATTCTGCTGATTTAAGAAAAAAAATATTTTAAAAATATATTTTATTAATAAATTAAAGAAAAAATTATATGTAAAAATAGCTAAAATGGTCCTCTACAGTAACTTCAGCCAATACAGCCAGAAAAGTAACTCCAACCTTACTTTTTCGGCTTATTACACAATTCAGCGCGCGAAAGTAAAAGTTACGTGTTTGGTGAAAAAGCTGGCTGATAAGCCTGATAAGCCGAAAACAGAGTTCTCCAAACGGGCTCTATATATATTGTGCCTTAGATACTAGTTCATGTGTACTATATGAAGTACTTGGGCGTTAGATATTAGTTTTTTTATTGTTGTGTGTTAGATCATGCTTTTTGTGATTGATATATTCGTATTGTGCATTAGATATTCATTCTTGTGTGTTATATATTAGTTTAAGTTGTGTGAAATCCTTATGCATTTAGATATTAATTACTCCGCAGTTTTTAATTTTGTGTGTTAGATATTGTTCTTTGTGCATTACGTATTGATTCTTGTGTGTTATTTATAAGTTTAACTTGTGTGAAATCTTTATGCATTAGATATTAATTAGTTTTTAGTTGTTGTGAGCAATAGAATGTTCTTTGTGCATTGGATATTGGATTTTGTGCTTAAGATACTCGTTTAAATTTTTCTTATACATGTGTTTTAGATAGTCATTCTTGTGTTTTAGATATTAGTGTTTGTGTGTTAGCTACATGTTCTTGTGCATGCGGTACCTGAAGATGTTTGTTGCGGTTTATTGTACACATATTATACTATTTTTTTTTAAAACAAAATTATATATGTCATATTGGTGTCATATGAAAGGTAATAAAAAATTATTTAATTTGATACAATTTTTGTTAAAATTAGATTATAATTTTAAAAGTTAAATCAATTTTAAAATTGAAGGAATTTATATGATTTGACATTTTTTCTTTTCCTAATTTTTTGCTAGTTGATAGCCTCCAACCGATCAAAGAAAACTAGAAAATCATAGACATTAAAGGTATCTTTTCATTCTTTTGACCTTTTTACCCTTTAGTCATCCCACGCATCCTCAAATAATTTTGTCATCTGTGTTTGTGTGTGATACGGTGTATGATTTATCATGCACCTTCCAATAAGAGAACCGTATGTTTCTCCAGATCAAAAGACAGGATGTGTTCTCACGTTCTCACGTTAAGACTCGTTCTCATTTGAACTCAACCCTATATATATATATATATATATATATATAGGGTAAGGTTCAAGTGAGAAGAACCCTTTGGGTGAGAAATGAGAATGAATCTCAGCCATTGGATTCGACTAAGTTGCAGTAAAAGACACTTCATGATGCACTGAAATATGCAATCTAGCACGGTGGCATTTCTGTAAATACTTCTGAAAAATCCGTATTACACGTGTCTAGTGCAACATGAAGCTATTTCGGTGCAACGCCGTCAAATATTAGTGCAACATGAAACAGTTTTAGTGCAACATGTGCAAAAATTAAATATTACTGCAACATAAAGCCAATTTTAGTGCAACTTCGTAAATCCAATGGCTGAGATTCATTCTCATTTCTCACATTAGATGCATTTCTCACCTGAACCAAAATCTATATATATATATATATATATATATATATATATATATATATATATATATATATATAGCAGTTCTAATGAGAACCATGATTAACGTGAGAACCATGCACTTTTAACACATCTCGATGCACTATGAGACTCATCTATTGCACTTTTTAAATTTTGATCAAAACGTGCTAATATCAAATAAATGTGGTGTCAGATTTCTAAATATTTTGTCAACATGAAAATGTGCAACATATACATGATATAGTGCATCACATCTGCTTAAAAGTGGAGTTCTCACGTTCTCACGTTAAGCATGGTTCTCATTTGAACCTGTTGGGTTAATGGACCAAGTAAAAAACCTCAACAGAACCTATATATATATACACACATACACACACACAGAATTTCATCTTGTTAAATAAATTGCAATCAATGTCTTTAGTTTTGGTAACTTATTTTCACTTAATGCCTCTCTAATTTTGGGACAATTCTCATTTAAAAAGAATAACACTGCTACAAATCCGCGGACGTCTCTAGGCTTTTCTCTAGCCAGTTTTTACCGGCGGCGGCTTAGCTAATCAGTCTGGAGGGTCTCTACCAAGTATGGTTAGTCGAGTCTTGTTCGTTGTCTCTCCAGCCTTTATTTGATTCGTGCAGGTAAAGACGGGAAGGGGTGTTTTGTTGAAGGATTGGATCTCCGAATTGAGCAGCAAAGTCACAGGACGGTGGGTGATGATGAGTGTTCTCGTCAAGGGTGGAAAGCAAGTTCCCTTCGTCCTTGTTCAATTTGCCGGTGGCCGACCGAATCGGACATGGCCATTAGGGATCAAGAGGTTATAGTCTCCTCGCTGGTGTTACTGGTTTCGATTGGGGTGATTTCAGGAATGTCTCAAGATGAAGGGATGATGATCCGTCCCCCTCCTGAGCCACCGCCGAGGATGATGCTTGAAGCAGGATTTCAGTTGCTATGTCAGTTTATTTTATTAAATTTCATTTTACTGTTTTTGAGTTTCTTAGGCATGAAAACTGTAGTTGTAGTTTTCTACTATTGCTATTTCAGTCAGACTCTTACATTAGGTAGGGGTGATGAGGATTATGCTCTGGCCACGTTGGCTCATTTAGACCCATTACAGGACAATCGAATCATATTACTCTATCCAGGGTGATTGGTTCTCCAGCTGGTCCGGGGGTAGGTGGCTGGAAGTGTTTTCTTTATCGCTCGTATCCCTTGTTGAATGTTTTATTATCAATATAAAGCCTCTATGTTACAAAAAAAATTATAATCACAGATACTCTCATGGAGATGTCACATGTTCGAATACCATTGCAGTTCAAAGATGTTGACATTAATATTGAACATATACTCGTACTATAATAAATTGGCAAATACACCAAGAAAAATCAACCACTGTTGAAGGAAATTTTATGTTGTGTGCTATTGTTTGGACAGAATATGTATTAGTGTCCTTCTATGTAAATTATGTATTATGGGCCTATTGGCCCATACTTGTAAATCCTACTTTATCCCTATTTATAGGGGCATTCAGTAATGAAATTCTTCACACAATTCTCCCTAGAACAACCACAATTTTATTCTCTAGAATTAAGTGCAAAAAGTAAACATGTTGACAAATGAGAGAGATGAATAATTAACTTAAATATATAGTTATCAAACGTTGTATAATTATGAATTCTTAGTTCTAAAAATTATTTATTATAAGTATATTTGAAATAAAATAGAACGTGATGATTTTACATCAGTAAAACATTCTCTGATGTATGTCTACAAATACATCTCATAACTAGAGAAAGAAGTTGTGTTATTGAGGAAATAACATACTCTAGCACACAAATTGTAGTTGAGGTGGTGTAAATTGTAAAAGGGGACTGATGCTGATGTAAAATTGAAGTTGTGCCGTACAATAACATTATCAAACTTTAGATCTATAAAAAGAGAATATGACGACTCCACTGGGGATCGAACCCAGAATCTCTGGTTTCGTAGACCAGCGCCTTATCCATTGGGCCATGGAGTCCTGTTGGTCTAGTTATAGCTAGAGTTTTATAAATCAGAAAGAATCTTATGCAAGTTCGTTAAAATGCTCACATCTAGCTTCAAACAAAATAATGTTGTGCAAGTATATGCATTAAGAACAGAGTTTTCAATGTCCAAGTACGAAGATTATCTAGAATAGGACCGTCTTTGGTATAACGAGAGATATTTGAGAAAATCAAATTATTTTTCTTTACTTTCATAATTTCATTTTTATTTTTTACACATGAAGGAAAAACTATACGAGCCCAAGGTGATCAATTTAGTCAAACCAACAAATACATTTCAAAATACATATATGGTAGTTCACTCGGGAGAGTTATACAATACCTCAGTAACTTTAACATTTTTACCTGCACTAAATATCTTTAAAATTGCTTTAGAACCAGTGGTAGTTTGGTAGACTGGACTAGATGTGATGTAATCAAATATATTGGCGGTACAAACTTGCAATACATATTAGTTTGATCACATTACATCATTACATTTCACATGCCAAACTACGCCTTATGTTTAGTGTTTTGCACAACATACTAAAGTAGATCCTCTGAAATTTGACAACTCAAGACCAAATACCAATATGGTCCACTGATAGTTTACCTGGACATTCAAAAGACTATTGTGCTCTCAACTGTTCAAGGTCATAACTCTATGCATCTATGTATAGAAACTCTAGGACACATAGAGTTGGGTGAGTATCCTCACCAAAAGTACATTCAATTTACAGTAGTCTGATATTTGGTCATCAGCAGTTCTCACCATCTAAGATGTGATTGAAAGAGATGCGTAATAACATCAAAGCAAAGTTTGATGATATTAAGACCACACTTGATAGAAGACCATATCTGCCAAACAAAGTTTCACAAGGCGCCATAACTTCTCAGGTTCTTACCCTTTTGATTTTCAAGGGGACAGCGATTTAAGCCTTCACGACATTTGCCCATCTTTAACTTCACCATGGTTAATATTAATGTTATTGTGATTGTGATGCTTTTACTTGGGCGATCAACTTCTCGCGCTGTTTCTGGAGATAAGCCTGCTTCAGTTTCTCCCTACGCGCAGCAATTTGTTCTTCCCTACGCATTTTCAGTTCAGATGCTTTTTGCCTGGCTTCACTTGCTTCTTCATGAACTTCCCTGAACAAACCCATCCAAATCATATAAAAATCAAGAACCTCTAAATGAAAAAAAAATATTGTGGTCCAATTGCATAGAAAATTTGCCTTTCAGAATTTCTCTTGGTGGGTGGGATGTAGACATAATAGTTATCTTATCAGCTATATTTTCTATTAACGTTGATGTATTTGACTGAATGACTCTGTATTTTGAGGTTTATAACATGCAGTATAAAAATATTTCTTTTGCTGGGATGAAAATAAATGATGCTTTTACCTTTATTTTCATTGCTTATGCGTGTACATATACATATACGGGAAAGTTCCCGAAATAGGACTAAAACAGTTTCAAAATTCCAAAATGGGACTGCCATGTTTTTATTCCCAAAATAGGAGTAATTACTGCCAAGTTTGGAAAATATTGTCATGTTTGAAGTCTGGTACTGTCAATACATGGCAGTAATTAATCTTATTTTGGGAATAAAAACATGACAGTCATATTTTGGAATTTTCAAACCTTTTTAGTCCTATTTTAGGTGATATACTCTACATATACCCATTTACATATACATATACATTTATACATATAAACAATAAACAAATATACATATATATACGATAATTTGGATCAAATGAGAATATGGTCTAACGAGGGAATTTGGGAATGAATCTGAGCGTTGAATTTGAGAGTTGTGAATTATGTGAAACCAAAATGTGCATTGCATGGATGACAAAAACGCGGTTGCATTTTTGTATAAAGTGAACTTTTCTATTGTTGTGAAGTATGCATTCTCTCAACTTGAAATGTGCATCTCCATGAATCAGAATGTGCGCCATTCTCATTTTTCACAGGAAGAACATCTACCTCTCTCATTAGAACCGGACCCTATATACATACATAAATAATACAAGTATATATGTAGGGATGGGTTTAAGTAAAAAAAATAGTGCTCTTATGAAGAACAAATCTTGGACATTAATCCCTTCAAAATGGATGACTTAGATGAATTTTTAACCAAAAGACATAGAGGAAAAACAATGTGAAAATGTTCATAAGTTATACCACAAATGGATTTTTTATAGGATAAAAGTGCAGTCATAAATACTAAAAAAGATTATCATATTTTTTTTAAACTTATGCACATTTTATTCTGATGCACTTTTATGATTTACATATACACTTTTTGAATATTATGTTACACTTTGTTACAATAATTTCATTCAAGAATCTTCATAATTACTAAAATGCCACCACATTTCCTACCTCAAGTTTGATCCCTTCCACCCATTTTTTCACCTCAATTCTTAATGTTCACCTATGAAGTACTTTTCATTTGAACCAGATTCTCTCTCTCTCTCTCTCTCTCTCTATGCATATACATTCAGACAATATTGTCGTTTCTGCCTAAATTTCATCAACTTCAGTCACATTCACCCTTCTATCCAAAGTTTACTCCTTACCAAACAAACCTTTATGGCATTTCTTGTTTTCTAGCATTCTTTAAAAAGATCAACCCCTAAAGTGAAAATTTAAGAAATGGTGGGGGGAGCAATCTGTAAAGGGATAGATACTTACATTACAAATCGCTTATGCTCTCTTCGGTCTATTGCGCCTGACACACGCCCAAGTCCCGGAGCTTTTATATCATTAGTCAGCAAAAAGTCATCATCTTTTTCATCTGGTGGTTCTGAACTAGAAGTGTCATGCAGCCGTTGAGGCAGTTTTGATGCTTCTTCTAGGGCTATACCTTTCCGTAAGAAATCAACACAATACTTCTCTTTATCTTCTTCATCAGAAAGCTCTCCTCTCACTAGCTTCTCATATAACTCAGCTTTTTTCTCCAAAGCAGCATAGCTATTTGTCCCGTCATTGGCAGCTTTCAGTTCAAGCTTGTCCCTTTAAATGTACAAATCAGTTCGAACCCATTGTTTATTAAAAAACATGTCTTGGAAGTTGGAGGTGCTACACTAAATGAAAAATCTTTTTTATTGGGAAAGATAGTACGATATCTAGTTTGTTCATGAGCATTTGGTTCCCTCCTTCCAGCTAATGAGCTGAGTCACATACTGCATGAGTATTTGGACTGGCCAATTGCATGACCCGGAAATTACAAAAACCAGATAAGAAAATAAATACTCCGTATTAAACAAAAAAGTCCGAATATGGGGGGATTCTTTTTTTGCTCAAGCTTTAGAGTACTTCAGCAGAAAAAATCAGATAAATTACACAAAAAATGTGTTAATCAAGAAAATAAGTAGAAAGTGCATTTTGCAAACGTAGCAATGGGTTAGACTCAAAAGAAAAGCACTTAAAATGTATCTTTTTTATAAGCACTTTCTACTTATAAGCAAATCAAAATGCACTTTCTACTTAAAGCACTTAAATACACCCAGGGGGTATTTTGTAGGGCATATTGGTTTACTAATTACTATGCTATCAAAAAAAGTTTTCATCATTGGCTACATCAGAACCATAGTTGTAAAAGATTTTTACATGTGCTAAATTGAGCTATAGATCTAACAGTAATAGTTATCAAAGAACGATCGTTTGGAAAATCAAAACCTCGAAACCCTAAGAGCTGAAAAGTGAAATTTAAAAAATAAATTAGAGAAAAAAATTACTTGGTAGATCGAGCATCGACACCAGAATTCTTGCCAGAGAAGGGGTCGTAGGCGGAAATTTTATCCCTGGCGCGGTGGACTTGAAGGTGGGAATATTTTGGGTCGGCGCCGGAGATTGTTTCCTTGGAGAGGCGTTTGGACTCCTCCTGTGACTTGTAGAGCTGAGCTTTGAGATCGAGTATTGATGACGGCCCAACACCGTGGATGACTCGATGTTTCCTCGGCATAATGGAGGATTCCGTCAGCCATCCCAACGACTCCACCTGTACCCTCTTCTTCCCCTCTCCTCCGCCCTCCGCCATGTCTTTCTCTTTCTATGTGGTGAATTTGTGCCGAATTCTCCAGGCCGATTTCGGTTATCTTTGAAGTTATGCGAATTGTTTTCCGGCGACCTCTACCGAGTACCGTCTATGGCTTTTTAGGGATTGAATTAGCGGGCTTCGGATTGCAAATATGGAGATTTATATGGGCTGAAAATGTAAATATTCGTCTAATATTCTCTGAATTAATTAGTGATGACAATTGTGATTATTCCCATAGATATTATTCTGGTCAAAACCGAGAAAACTACATTGATCAGGTAACGAGGAAAACTGCATAAAAGTTTTATACATGATCGCCTCATTGGGGTGTTTGGAAAATGATATTTCAGCAAAAAAATGGCGG